GGGGGGGTTTTTTTTTTTTAAAAAAAAATTTTTTTTTTTTTGGCCCAAAAACCGTTCGGGGTTCTTGGCTTTTTTTTTTTTTTTAGGGGCCGCGGATTTTTTCCCGCCTCTCGGGGGGTTGGTTTTTTTTTTATAAAAAAAAACTAAAAGGGGGGATAGTGTGAGAATTACTCCCCCCCTTTTTTTTTTTAGCAAGTTGATGCATGGGGGTGTATTCATTTTGCGCATGTTTTGTAGATCCCCGAGCAGTTTTTTTTTTTTCTTTTTTTTCTCGGGGGGGGGGGGGGGGGGGGGGGGGGGGGGGCAGGGAAGGCTGATACGACCACACCGCAAAACGGATCTCTACCATTGTGTGCTTGCAAAAAGGTGTAGACGTCACATTACCTGCACATCCAACCAAAATACGACACGTACACACACGAGATACGATAGTCGATCAGACCAGACGACGACAGGATAAGTTCAACACCGGCAACAAACTATTCTCAAGACAAAAGACGAAAGAGGGATCGAATAAGTTGATAGTACAAGCATAACGCCGCTGCACACGGGGAGGGAGGGGAGCAACGGAGATAAAAGACCAAAACAAGAGAGCGCCGATCCATCGTGTGAACGGATTGGGTGTCTCTCAAAACACGGCGCGGGGCCCCTCTTGCACTGCAAAATAGTCGCCAAGGCTACTACACTGCCCATGCCCTCCCCTCCCCTCCCCTCCCCTCCCTCTTTTTAGTAATCGTACAAGAGACGACAAACCTGCCGATGGTGCCCTCCCTCTTTTCCAGTGTACTCATACAAGAGATAAACGACAAAAATCATCGACTGTAATAAGGTACGTACCGAGTTACAAACTACCAGCGTTTCTGAGTCGGCGTAGCAGGACGGCCGGTTTGACACACACGCAGGAGCACAACACACCCAAATGAAGCCATCTCCTTGATTCCGCTAGGCGGCCAATCCGCCGTGGGCAAGGGTGGCCGTGTCATGCCTTCCCGCCCCCTCCGTCTCCTTCCAAGTTCGAGGTCTGTCCCACCCTCCCTCCTCGTCTTCTTGAAATATCCACGCAAGCCCCCGTCCAGGTGGCAGGGTTGCGTACCCCAGCAAGAGGCGAATAACTTGTGTTCCGCGCGCATGGGGTGTGTAGGTGACGCGGGAGCGATAGGGTGACGGCACGAAACCCCAGGGGGTGTGACACTCTCTCTTCCGAGGTCGACAGCCGGACACCCTTCCCCCCCCCCTCCGTCAAAACCGCAAACCCCCCCCCCCCCCCCCCCCCCTTTTGGAAACCCAAAAACGGGGGGGGGTTTTTTTAAATCCCCCCCCCAAAAAATTTTGGGGGCCCCCCCCCCCCCCCCCCCCAGCCCCCGGAAAAAAATGGCCCCCGGAAAAAAGGTTCAAAAACCACCCCCCCCCCCCGGGGGCCCCCTAAAAGTTTTCCCCCCCCCCC